TGGGGGGGGGGGGGGGGGGGTGTGGTTACTTTTATGCGCTTGAATATTACTGCATTGCAAATGATTGCAGTTCCTTTTGAATCATTCTAAGATAATCCAAATCGTACTCCACGTTCTTTTTTCCTAAACCACGGTAGTTGGCTTTCATTCATAATCACGATAGTAATTAGCAATGCATCTAAAGCTTCTACTATGCACAAGAAATGATTCATCGTTTTTTTAGTTAGTGATTCAAGTGTTTCTCTAATCTGGATAGTTAGAGGGACATAGATGATTAACCTGTTCATATTAAATTAGTAAATGGTTCAGGTGCCTGTGTATGATTTGTCAACTGTACATTTAAGGTACCCTTCCCTCACTTTCTTTCCACTTTCTCTTTTGGGGCTTTGGGAGCTCTTAGAATTTCACTGGTCCTTTTATAGAATCTCAAAACTAAATATTCTATCTTTTACTTGCTTCTGAATATAGGTTTCATATAATTAATTTGAGCTGTGCATGTTTTACAATGTTTATTCTCCAGGCATTTCAACAAAGGAGTTGTGCCAGTGTCCAAGTGAAACTAACATGGCACATCAAATCTTATTGAAACATTTCAAAATTTTCCATGTTGGTCTCAGTGCTATTGTGTTGTTGGGTGAACTGTTTGTGTACGTTTACAAGCGTTATGTTATGCCTTAAAACGGCGACCGTTCTTCACCTCCTCAATGATTTAGATCTCAATCTATTTGAATACACATTGTTCCCAGTTTCATATTTCAATCTGTACAATGGATGAAAGTAAAAAAAATGACATTTTTTTTGTTCCTTTGGGATTGATTTATGTGGTGATTGTGGCTTTTCTGGTTCTGTTTTTAGTTTGTGGTTCTACTTTTTGGCCTAGAAGTCCAGTGATTCATGTGGTGGAGTGTTCTCGCAAGGAGACACTCCAATATTAATAATTTTAGCAGAGTAACAAAGAGGGAGGGATAACATACCTAAGAGAGGTTAATTCCCTGCTATTTATAGGCTTAAGATGAGTATAGTGCGTAAGGAATCCATCTCGGTGAAGCCATATAGTTGACCACTCCTTATATAACCATATCATCCTTGTAATTACGCTGATTAAGGGTATGGTGGGATAACAAATGGTTCTAAAATGCCACTAGGATTAGCTCCTTTGTGTTAGCTAGTGTTTGGATCTTGTTTTCGTTGATATGTTATCCTAAGCTTGAAAGCGAGGGGATGGTATGAGATGACAACTAAGCTAGAGTTAACCTTGTGATGGTCAATCTATTGATTTTGAACTATCTAGACTGTAGTGGTGTAACTCAATTAGTTGAACAAGATGCATGAATGGAATAAACTTCTTTTTATTATTAAGTTCAATTCCAATAAACAACTAAGCCAGAGTTAACCTTGTGATCTAGTGTAGTGGTCTCTTCCTTATAACTCAATTAGTTGAAGGAAATGCATGAATGTAATATTTTTTTTATTATTAAGTTCAATTCCAATAAATAAAAAGTATAAAAAAATTTAACACTTTTTTATTATTAAGTTTAATTTCAATAAATAAAAAAGTATAAAAGAATTATTTATACTGTTAAAAGACAATATCAACTATTTTTGTGGTACTTAATATCAATTATTTTTGTGTCTAGTTTTACATGGATGGATATGTCTCTACTTTTATTTTGTAATTTTCTATTTTTAGATTATTTACATAAATAACTATTTAATCTCAACAATTACCCAATAACTTTAATTATTAACCATTTACTTATATTTAAATTTAGTTATTTTATTTTTTAAAAATAAAATAAAAAGCACGAAGTGTCTATTTTAATAATAAACAAAATATAGATTCGAGTAATTAATATAACAAATTTAGCTAGGTTTACACAAATGAAAAATGACTCACTTTACTTAATTGAGTGTTGTAAATGAAAAATGACTCACTTCACTTAATTGAGTGTTAGAATTCGAATCTTGATTATTACAAATGTAAAAAACTTAAAAGACTAACCAATTTTTCTTTTTATAACAGATAAAAACTTGGATTGAAATAAAACACGATTCATAAGATCAGAATTAGCCACCCATCTCTTTGAAGTCTACTCCAACTCCAACACAAATCTATATAAAAAGATTAAAGAATAAAAAAGATGAATTTAATAGTAAGCCTTAACGAATAAGTAGATTTAGACTAGTACAAATAGACTTACTTAGATATCTTTGCGTTATGAATATTTTTTAAGTAATGCTTAACTATTTAATATCTGTCAAAACTTTCATAAAGATTGTTCATGAAAAATAATTGGTAATAAAAAAAAATATATCTAATTCAGCTTCCATATGTATAGCTGGCAATAGCCAATAGTACCTACCACGATCAAATCATTAACTAAACTAGAGTGTGGTACGCGTAAACAAGATGGTACACACATCAGTTATTTCACAAACGATGAAAATGCCATCAATAATATACAACAGCAATATTGTTCATTTGAGTAACTCGTCATAATTTGATATTGGATGATCCAATCCTTGGTTGATCTTGAACTTGAGGACTTTTGCAGCTTGGCTTTATAATTAAATTCATAACTCCGTCCTTTTGTTTCTCTGTTTCTTCAATCGGCTTTGACTTTAGTAGTCTTGTACTTTTCTTCTTCCCTCTTGATTTATATCATTGACCTTTCTTGGTTTAGCAACACAAGTAGATGCAGCATGCACAACAAGATTTCCCTGGTTACCATGCAGTTTCTTCACAAAGGAGAACTCATGTTCCTTCTCAAAGCTCTTAGTTTCTTTTCTGCTTTCTGAGCTTTGGTTTGAACTCTAACGTTCACTTCCTCAAAACACTGCATCACGTGATCACAAGATAATTTAGATGTGGCTATAATTATTTGCTTCCAAAATAAAAAAGGTAGTGTCATGACTAAACCATATGACAAATTTACAAGAACAAGTCTGAGTTTTGTCATGGATTTATCTAATGGGACATAACAATCATATTAGGTTGCACAACATCTGCAATTGTACATAGACAAAGCTGCATTCTCATAATTATGGTAATGGGACATGAAAGTACAATGCTACACCAAAGCTTTTATATCATTCATGTGAACTTCAAACAAGAATTAGTTAGATCATTATTGGTTAGTGGTTACCTGTTGCTTTCTTCTCCTCTCGAGTTCGGCCTGATAAATAAAATTAAAGCAAGATCCTTGTCAGTATAATTGAATAACAAATACATTAACAATAGAGGAAAAGTTTCAACATTCTGCAGAAGTTCGTGTTATTTATTTGGTAGTACGTACCAGCGCCTGTTTTAGTTGGGCGTTCTCTTCTTTTAATTGGTTCAGTTCTGCTTCTAATTCTACTGTGTATGCCTGCAAAGATTAAAAAAGGAAAAGATTAAATATCTAGCCAAATATTCCAAAAAAAAAATCTATTAATTACTTAGTACAGGTTTAAATTTCGTCTTCCTTCCGGCATAATTCAAGAACTTCTTTAGTCTGCATTCACTCGGGAAGTTCTCAAAGAACAATATATCTCTAAAGTTCTTGAAAATGAACCCCCTCTAACGAAAACTATGGTGTGTTTGATTTACTTTGTGACCATTCTCCTCATTAATAATATCTTCCCCTTGATCTTCTGCTTGAGCAATCTATATTCTATATATATAGATACATGCACTAGGCATAATGAGAAAAACACTATGAGCCTCACAAGCTAACAGCTACGAGGTCCTTTACTTGCATCTCAAAATCTAAACCAAGTAAAAAAGTTAATTAACACGCATTTTATCAGTAGCTGATCTTGATAGCTAGCTGGTGGTTTGAACCTGTGTCAAGTGTCAAACCCCTATAATTTCTCGGAAAAGAAAAGCCAATCACAGTTACATAATTTCAAGGTGTGCCTCAATGACGAACATGTACGTACGCACCAAAGTGGAAAGGTCTGAGGACAGATTCTTTTATAAATAAACCTCCCTTTTAGAATAGTGGATTAAGCCTAACTCAACCCTACAAAACCGGCTTGTAAGGTAAGGGTTGTTTTCCACTTATATACTATTCAATTGCCTAATCTCTAGTCGATGTGGGACTTGGGTTTTTTTCCCAATACACCCCCTCACGTCCAGCACTATTGGGCTTGGTACGTGGATAAATGGTGGGTGGCCTTTTTTAATGATCTAGGATTGGCGGGACTTGGGTTTTTCCCAATACACCCCCTCATGCCTGTGAGGCATGCATCAATGGTGGGTGGCCCATTTTTAAAGTGGATCTAAATGGCTTTGATACCATTTTAGAATAGTGGATTAAGCCTAACTTAACCCTACAAAACCGGCTTGTAAGGTAAGGGTTGCTTTCCACTTATATACTATTCAATTGCCTAATCTTTAGTCGATGTGGGACTTGGGTTTTAAAACTCCCCTATACAATTTGGCCGCAAAAGTTATTAAAAGTGTTGACATTTTATTATGAAAAATTCTACGTACCCTTCTTAAGTGAGAGAGTACCGATATAATTGAAATTGTCAATTTTATTCTAAATTTATTATTTTTAATAATTTATTTATATTATATTTTTTAATCATTTTTATATTTTCTTGGATATTTTATGCTTCTATTTTCTTTTTAAATTATTCATTTATGTACCGAAATCCCTTTATCTTTTATCTTTGAAGGCATTAGAGCAACTCTCTTTTATTAATTCTTCTTAAACTATTGTTGTGTTACTATCCCGTCATTAGTTCACTCAAATTGTGTACACTAGCTTTGTACTGCAAGATTAGCTATATAAGCAGGATGCTAGATGAGTAACGACATTTACACTTTTTTTTTAAACACCCACCAACACTGAAAAATCAGTAGATACTTATACACCACACATGCTTTCTGATCATTAATCTCAACCAATGTGTGATCAAGGGTTATTAATCACTTAAGTTGTGATTAGTAGAACCATGATCACTTGATAATCTTGATCCTTTTGTCACACCTCCTCTCATTTCTTCCATTATATGATATCACTTATGATGCATATATATACTTTAATTTTGTTTCTCTCTTACTAGTGAAGATATACATGTAGGCATTGATAAAAAAGAGGCATGCATGCACGTACCTGTTTTCTGGCTCTAGATCTGGCAGCAGATTCTCTATTCTTGATCATCCTCCTTTGTCTTCTCTCCACCACCTTCTCCACAGGACCATCCACCACCCTCTTCCTCCCTCTCAAATTACCCATGTCAAGCCCAAACTGAGCACCACAGTTCTCATTCCCCATCCCATCTGAGGAATTAGCCGGACTGACAGGCCCAGGCCCAGGCCCATACCCCCCTCCTCCAAAACAATACCCGCCACCGCCACCACCATCTCTCTTCCCATTTCCAACTTGATAACCCACGTTACTCACAAAAGAAGGACCCATTGCAGCATTGTTTACATAATGCTGCTGCTGGTGAGAGTGAGTCACTGGTGGTACAACACATGGTTCCCGAACTACCCCTGCCTTAACCAAAAAATCCTCCAGAGTCATCTCTCCAAAAGTGGGTTGGCGAGGGGCAGACTCGGTATTCTGAATGTTGTGTTGTTGCTTCTGAATGTGGGACCAGACTTCGTCGACGGTTTTTCTGCATAGAGGTGGAGGCAGAGAGAGGGAAGGTTGGCGAGGGAGAGTTGGCTGCTCCCTTAGGGTTGTTGGAGGGACGTTGGAGATGTTCTCTTCGGCACTCCATATGCTGCTCAGGAACTCGTCCATGTTCATGGAGCCGAAGTTCTTCCCGTTCTCGCATAGGCTGTGCTGGAACTCGTCCAGTGTCAGCGAATATATGGACGATTGTCTTCCCAGCGATGATGATGGATTGTTCGCTTCTTGCAGGAGTCGTGACTCCACCTCACCTAATTGCGAATTCATCTCACCCTCTTCAATCACCATGATCTTTTTCCTTCTTACAACGTCGAAGCAAAGTAAGATATATGAAAGATAGTATATGTTATTGATTCTGTTTCCACTCAATTTCACGTAAAAACTATTACAAAGAACTGAAACAAGATAAACTAAAACAAACAAAAAGTAAAACAGACATTAACTAAACAAACAACCATGAAGATTGAAGCAACCAAAATGGAAATTAAAAAATAAAAAAATACGACTGACAAGCATGGTAGTTGATTGCACAACAAAGTATAAAGGGTGATAGATACCTGGAATTTGAAACTTGAATTAATGCGATCGAGGCTGGTACGTAGCTATTGATGATCAGTTCCTTTTGCAGCAGTGACACAAGTTTTAGAGCTTAATATTTTATGATACTGAGGTGAGGATGAAATGAAATATGTTTCTGTTGAGTTTGAGCACAAATTTAAAACAAAGGTAATGCCCTGCAAATTAAGGGACAAACTTGGTCTATATGATATTATGATTCATTCCGGCTAAGGGTACCCCACGAAAAAAGGCACTAAATAATAATTAATGAAAAATAGAATCGTCAAATGCCGCAATAGACAGGAAAACTTTCCCGATTCGATCACATCACTCGCCACGTATAAGACAGGTGTTGAATGTGTAGCCATGTTTCAGTGCAGCGTATCTTTTGAGCTCAACACGTATTCATCTTTCTATTTTTATATATATTTTAAATATTATTTACGTACTATTTTGTTACACTATTCTTATTTAGGAAATGATTCCCATTAGACTTGCTAATTCAGGAAGGAAGAAAATTGCTTTTTTATTTTAATATTAAAAATAATACCTATATGATATTATAAAATATATAGCTACTAATTAATAGAATTTGTTTTTATGATAGTATAGCAGAATTCACTTTTCTCGGTTGTAACAATTGATGCTAACCAATTTACTTATAAATATATAAGTGTTGGCCGACACTTATTTCCATTGTATTTGAAACTCACTGTGCTAAAATTTAATTCCCTTTATCAATGTTCTGTTCTTTGTACGTGGCCGGTGGACGGTGGACGGTGGTGGTTGCGAAGTGGGGTTTGAGCTTTGATGGCTCTGACAAAGAAGCCGTAGCCAGAGGCGGTAAGTGTGGTGGTCTTGGACTCTTGGTTTCTGGCTTGAGGCATAATGGTGCAATGAAAATATCTCATATGAGCTACAATACTTTTAATGGGAGAAATGGATAAGAATTATAAATAAATTATATAATTATACAGTAAGCTTAAAATTTATTTATTCATAACATCATAATTTTTTTATACAGGGACTATCATCTCCTTGCCAAATATGGACCGAAAGCAAACCTTCATTATTGGAAATGGATTTTCCAGATCCAAAGGACTAAATTCCAATGTAACAATTAAGTTCCGGTGGACACTCTCATGTTCTCCTTGCTGTCTTACCTAAGACTGTGCAAGTGGAAGCCATAAAATATTAATCATATGTGAAAAATCTCTGTTGATAAAACAAATTGATCATGCTCGAATCGAAAAGGTAAAAAATTAATGACAATATTCAGACAGAAATAAAACGTTATAATATCAATTGGACAGAATTCTATGGAAGCTCGCTTACAAATTAGAGCTAGCGGACAATATATCAGCCACATATCTTATATTACATGAAATTTAAAAAGAAAGTTACTTTACTAATTGAGTGTGCTTATATATATATATATAACTGAAAAGTTGCTTTTGCATTATTGTCAATTAAATTTAAAATCATCAATTACGTAGCAAAAGGACAAACTAACCAATAATTAAGCTAGGAAGCAACTCTTCTTCGTATAAAGGATTCATAAAATGTAGTTGATTACCATTTTTTTTTAATGAGTTTTTCTAAAAACACTTTCAGAAGAGAAAAAAAAATCAAATTAATTTTTTCAATAACCTAAAACTAATTTATACATGAATTAAAAATAAGATTTTAGAGAATTAAATATGAAAGTTTCTATGGATTAGCTTACACATAAAACTTTTTTTTAATATTTTTTTCTTCTAAAAGTGTTCTTTTACGTTAGTTAAAAATATTTTATACATAAAATTATAAATTAAAACTACTTTATATATGAATTAAAAATAAAATTTTGAGAAAACTAATAGTTAGAAAAAGACTTTTACAAATTAATTTATGAATAAATTAATTTTAACTTGTAAAGAGATTTTTTTTCTTTTTATTTATCTCTTTTAAAAATGCTTGTTTACCTAATTATGCTCTGCATGCAAGACAATAGTAGCGATTATCTAAAACTTTTAAAATTAGATGCATACTGATATTTGAAAGAGAGACAGAGAGAGAATGAAGGGCGCACAGGATGGATGCACCATAAACAAACGTTTTGCCTCTGACAAAACATTAAAACATTTAGTACAAAAATGTTTGGGTGTAAATGAACGTATTCTGAAATTTTGGCTTTTGCTAGAGCCCAATGGAAACATGTAGCTGATGAGCTCATACAGTAGAATATAATTTGGATGTAATGAATGTATTTAGTTTGTACAAGATGTCTTTTAAAAGCCATGGCTAACTAGAGACGAATTACTACAGTTATCAATTTCCAAAGCTAGCCACGACTAGTATTGGTTTGAGCAGTTCTGCTTACAGAGAAGAAGATTACAAAGAGTAAACACTATTTAAGATGAATTTTGGCACAACACAAGAGTCACGAACAAATATCTAAATAATGGAAATAGTATGAATGTAAGGAAGAATGAAGATACATGCATGCATATTAGCGTATATATACCACGTGATTCTTCCTATATATCAGACCTCTTAAGCATAAGTTGTTTGTTTTCATTACTATCATTTGTTTATACTATTAAAAATTAATAATAGGATAGATGCATTTTAAATTGTGATTCTTATAATAATAAATTTTAATCACTTTGCTAATTATCAATTATTACCACTTATTTAAACATGTTTTTCTTTTTTTAAAAAAGTGGGTTCATTCATGGGCTGACCCTCACCAACTTGGTCCTAAGATTTTTTTTGGCCCTATTATACATGTGGACTTTTTAGTACGAGCCTTTTTGTCTCCAGCTTGGACGGGTTAAAACAAATTGGTTCATGATATATACACCTCCTTTTTTCTATAAGTACACCTCCTTTAAAAAAAATTAAAATTTTAAAATATTCTTAATTTTTTGTTTTAAATTTTTTAATTTTACATCCACAACATTTAATGTAGTACTTTTTTTTCACATATTTTTCCTCCTTTTTTTAATTTTTACATGCATCCCCTTATTTTTCCTTCACCCCACCTATTTTGGTAGCATGTGAAAATTGAAAGAGAAAAAAAAAAGCGTGTGAATAAGAAAAAGAAAGTAGCAAATTAAAATTTGAAAGTGTAAAATTAAATTTTTTTAAAAAAATTATAATATTTTATAATTTTTTTAAAAGAAGGAGGTGTACTTATAAAAAAAGGTGTATATATCATGAGCTAAACAAATTAGTTTATAATTGTACTAGTAATTGAACCGGTCAAGGAAAAATAGGCTTAAATACGTTTTTAGTCCTTTAAATTTAAAATAAATTTGTTTTTGATCTCTCAAATTTAAAACTGTTATTTTTAATCTCTATAATTTTTAAAAATCTTGTTTTAGTCCTTTAGATTATCAATAACATATTAGAAAAGGACTAATTAAGACAGTTATGCAATATCAACCGGATTTAATGTGATATTTTCACTAATAAGGACATTAATAGGCAGATTTTATGTAATAATATTTGATAAATTTCTTAACAAAATTTGAATATAAAGACTAAAATAAGATTTTTTGAAATTATAGAGACTAAAAATAACAATTTTAAATTTGAGGACCAAAAATAGATTTATCCTAAATTCGAGGGACTAAAAACATATTTAAACAAAAAAATATTTAAAATCTAATTTATTTTATGTCTTCTACGTCCCCTAGCCCAAGCCTGCTTCCATATTGTAATAGCAATTTGGATTTACAAGAAAATTCCATCCATCATGTGTGATGTCTGATAACGTAGATGTGAAGCCTAAACCTGTTTACTTTTGTTTTGTTTTCTATTTTTAATTTTAATTAACTACAAAAGTACAAATTTATTTATTTTTAAATATTATTTTCAAAGATTTATACAGAAATTAAAATAGAGTAAAAACAGAAAACGAAAACACAGTTAAACTAAGTTCATAGTATTATTTTTCTATTCCACTCTATATATTCTTAGTGTGTGTTATTTTATAAGTTGATTATATAAATTTGAATTAACTCTAAGTTAATTTTTTTTAAGATGAATTAACTCTAATTTACTTTTTTAAGATGGTATTATAACATATTAAAATTTGACTATTATCAGTGAACTTATTAGATTATCAGTTATTAGAGTACCTACAAATGTTAAAGTATGCAAATTTCATACTCCAAATATTCAGTCTTCAACTTGAGTTAAGCTCTAATCCGATTTCATAAGAATTTATTCCAAGTTTCTGTCAGGAGGCAACGTAGATCTGAATTTTCATAATTATGATTTTATGGTTGGCTACATATATCTTTAGGACACCATGCTCCTTATTTGCTAAATTCCTGCCATCTCTTAGTTTCGTTCTTTGGTGCTGTTATTGGGAGAGCCACATATCTTTGGAGGAGTAGCCTGATAATCCCATGATATTGATACAATATCCAATCAACAACACTGCCTATGAGGAGAATAGAATTATGTATTGTTATCTTTAAAGGCAATTTGATAGATCGATTTTTTTTTTCTTTCCAAAAAACATTGAAAACTATGCAAAGAAAGGTTAGTCTTGGGATGATAGAAACATTTTACCTAAATTTACCAAACTCACCATAAAGTAAAGCCTATGTCATTTTTTTTTTGGGGGGTGGGGGGGGGGAGTTAGTTTAATATCAATTAGAAAGAAAAAAAAAGGTTTGATTGCCAAGTTGCTCTGGAAGCCTTGTCTCAGTCATCCTTGGGGTTATTCTAAAATAGTATCCCTTTGTACTGGAACTCTTGGTTTCAAGTTGAGTCCTTAAAAAAGAAAATGAAAGTCAACTATTACTATTAGAGATGTGGCCTGTGATTTTTATTTATGAATTTTCTGCATATATTAAAGTGAGGTTCCTCTAGAGATTTCCCCTAGCCAAAATAATTGGAATAGGATGGATAGATTGTCATACATCAAAAGAAATAAATTTGTATGTTGTTGGTATCTTTCCCTTTTGTGACATAAAGTTATTTTAATTTAGATTATTTGATTTTATGAAAAATCATTAGTTTTTCATAGTGAAAGATTTCATGCTAAGCATGTTAGCTGATGTTTAGTTGAACTTGTTAAATTAATTGTTGAACCAATGATTGAACTGGATAATATAATAAAGATGAATCTGACTAGAGACACAGCTGGTTAATGATTCAATCGGTTCACCCAGGTGGTTTAGTCATGTTTTTAAATCATTGATGTTGGTGTCAAAATGTGCTGACTCCTTTACAATTAAAACAGTGGTCCCAGGGCAGTTTCTGTTATTAATTCTTCTTCAGAAAGACTAGGAGGAGCAAGAGTTGTAGCAACTGCTGTGGTTCCAGATAATGTGGCAAAAATTCAGGACATTCTAAGAAAATGGAGTGATATTGAACAAATGGATCTTATAATTACTCTTGGTATGTTTCTATCTAACTTATCAGCTTCACTAAAGAATTTGAAATGTTTTAGTTTTGTTGTGTTGACTTCTGTTGAATTTTTGCCTTACCGATCAAGGGGGGACTGGCTTTACCTCAAGAGATTTAACGCCAGAAGCTACAAAACCATTGATTGAAAAAGAAACACCTGGTCTTCTACATGTAATGATGCAAGAGAGTTTAAAGGTAGGGACATCTATGCTTATGTTAGTCAGATGAGTAATTCTAGTTTTGTCTTTTGCGTTCTTTGGTTTCTTACTTTCTTTCTTAATACAGTTTTTTATAACTGTTATTTTATATTTTCAAATCAGTGTTCAAAGAGCTCAACCTGACTGATTGACTGAGCTGGTCAGTCTGCCATCAGTCTCTGCTATAATGGCTATGACTATAAACAGAAGTCTATATTTTTGGAATAATGCTACTTTTTCCAAAGTTCTATTCACAAGCTTCTTGCTTTTTTATATGTTTGGACGAGGAGTAATAATTGTAACGCATTCATTTCATAACAAAGTAAAGAAATGAGTTGGTAATTAAATAAAAAATGAGTTTGTCAAGAGCTTGTGTATAAAGTTTATGGGAGTGGCGATGCTCACGTTTATTATGTCTATATGTTTAAAGAAAGATCGACTTTTTGTGTTTTAATCTTCTCTTCAGTCTGTTTGAATAATGATGTTTTTTCCATGCTTAGTTATGTTGATACCATATGCATTCAGGCCTGCTTCTTAGGCAAGTGAGGAGTCCGTGTTTGTTGATTTCTAAAAGCATAATTATTCATGTTTAAATAGGTGACCCCATTTGCAATGCTTTCACGTTCTGCTGCTGGAATCAGAGGATCAACCTTGGTAAGGCAAAAATGCCAATTATATTAATAGCTACTTTAAAAGTACAGTACGGTAGCTGTGCTTTGTCTCCCCACTCCCCCAGTTTTTTCACCTCATTTTAATGTTATAATTGAAATTGCTTTGTGACTATACCTTTTTATGCATCTTACAAACAAAACAATATAGTGTTTCATGTAAGAATGTAAATATGCCAATCTTCTTCTCTTCCTCTTATCCTCATCTAGAAAAACAATAAATCCTGAGTAAGTGTGAATTGAGCAGCTCAAATGCCTTGTTAATTTGTAAAAGAATATTTCATCTCAATAATGGGTAATCTGTTTTTTTTTTTGGAACATTCTTTGTTGGTTTTGCAGGGTTCTCCTTTTCTTTTTATGGGCTGTTCTAGGAAAATGTCTTATTCTCCCACTTGTAAAGTATCCTGTCAGTAGCAACAAACGAGAAAGTAATTAACTGTTATTTGATGGCAGAAAAATGTTTTGTTTAAACATTTAGAAAGTCCTTTTAGTCATAAGTTAATTAACTGAGGGGGATGGCAAGAAATAGCAGATAATAAAGGACGAACACACCTAACATGATGATAGTCCTGCTTATTTATCTAAGGAATATCAAAAGGGATATAACCTCCATGGCTTGTTAGATTGTAGTTATATGAGTTTGAAGGTACATATTGTTGTAGTTAAACAGTTACAAATGTCATCATATAGACTTTGAAACCTTTATTATATGTTAATTTTTATTTATGACTAGTTACTTAAGTTTCATTTATTTAGTTTTGGTATACACCTTGTCTGCTAATTGGTGCTGCATTAGCGTTGTATCATATGTAGTTAAGGAAAGTCTGCGTTTCTTCTGGACTTGTATTTTCTGGTCAAGTTTTGGTCCCTGATTTGTTGAAATTCAGATCATTAACATGCCTGGAAACCCAAATGCTGTTGCTGAGTGTTTGGAAGCTTTATTGCCAGCACTTAAGCATGGGCTGAAGCAGCTCAGGGGAGACAAGAGAGAAAAACATCCTCGTCACGTTCCTCATGCTGAAGCAGTTCCTGCAGATGTGTGGGAAAAGAGTTATAAGTTAGCCACTGGCGCTGGCTCCGACGTTTCTTGTTCCTGTTGCAAGTGAAGTTAACTATATTTTCTCATTTCCTTCAGCCTCGTGCCCCCATGTTTCTCTAGGGAATAGTTACAGTTATCATCCAATGCTCGAAAATTTTATCTTCATGTTTGATCATAAAACTAAAATTTTGAATGGTGAGAATCCTAATTAACTGCAAGATGATTAAAAAAGACACACAAAATATGAGGAGAATAGAATTATGTATTGTTATCTTTAAAGGCAATTTGATAGATCGATTTTTTTTTTCTTTCCAAAAAACATTGAAAACTATGCAAAGAAAGGTTAGTCTTGGGATGATAGAATATTGTATTAAGACTAATGAGTAATATATATATATATATATATATATATTTTATTATTTTTTTTTTCTCACTTGATACTAACTTTCTTGGACGAGATCTTCAACTCTTTTCTATTTGATGATATGATTTTTCTGATAGAAAAATACTTACAAAAGATATTCTAATATTTAAGTTAATTAGTATTTGAAATTGTAGGTGACTCTTATTTACACATACTTTTTTAGAAATAAAATTATCTTATAAGTGAAAATTATGATTTTTGTGATATGAGCATTATAATCGTATCTTATCTTATAAGTGACTTTTATATAGGGAATGTTAATGTACTTTCACTTATTTTTTAGTTGAAGTATCTTAATAACCTACACCAAAATTTTAGGACAAAAAAATCACTCATTTATTTTAATTTGGTTAATTTGTATAAAAGATATTATAGTAATTTAATTTAATTTTAAATAAAAATAAAATATTTTCTCTATCTTATTAACTTCATTCTTTAAGTCATTTATCTTTTCTATTAAATTTTTTTTCCAACCCATTTCTCTTTCTTATTAAATTTTTTTTAACTTATTTATCTCTCTTCTTTTAAATTCCTTCTTTAACTCATTTCTCTCTCATCTCTCATGATGTCTCTCCTCTCTCTCTCTGAATAAATAAAAAATTGATTATTAAAAGAAAAGGAATGAATTGGAGAATGAAGTTAATAAGAGAGAAAAAATGTTTTATTTTCTTTTAAAATTAAATTAAATTACTATAATATCATTTGTACAAATTAACCAAATCAACAGAAATGAGTAATTTTTTTGTCTTAAAATTTTGGTGTAGGTTGCTAACATACTCTAACTAAAAAATAGGTGGGAGTATATTAACATTCTTTAAGTCATATATATAATATATAGAGAGAGGGGTTATAATTACACTGCTGTAACTTTTACCAATTGTTACACCACCCAATAACTTTATATTAAATGTGAATTTTATAAATTTAACTGTTAGATTGAAAGTTTATATCATTTTATATGTGTATATCAAATTTTGTTAAAATTGAACAAAATTTGAAAGTGATCAAAATATTCATATTTTAGTATATTTTGAAATAAATATATTACGTCAATTTTATTTTATAAAAATGAAGTATCAAATCATTTTGGATTAATATAAAGTTTTGTATATATGATCTAAGATATGAACTTTCAATTTAACGGTTGAATTTACAAAATTCACATTTAATATAAAATTATTGAGCGGTGTAACACTCCTCAAATATATATATATATATATATATATATATAGGAAGGATCCTTTTATTCTAGGAGTAAGTCTACCTAGACTTACTCCGTTGAATA